GATGATGATATATATATTTCTCAGCTTTTGAATTACGAATACCAGAAATAATAGAAGCATGATTGAGTTCATCTGAGAAAAACACTATATCAGGCATTATTTTAGCAAGCGTAGCAAGTGTGGTATCATTTGCCACATAACCAGAAGTAAACACTAACGCCATATCCTTTTGGTGTAAATTCGCTAGTTCTTTTTCTAATTCTATGATACAGCTATTATTACCGCCAATATTTCTTGTACCTCCTGATCCAATCCCATATTGAGAAATCGCTTCCAGCGCAGCATTAGTAACGCTGGGATGTTTGCTCATCCCGAGATAATCGTTAATACACCACATGACTATGTTCTTATTATCGTACCAAGCCGATGGGAAATTATCCGCTTGTCTTTGAACAGGGACAAACTCACGATATCTTCCTTCTCTCTTGATTTCATCTATGTGATTATTAAATATTTTATTATAATGAAACATCTTATTATTTTTTTTAATTATGATTCTACTGCTAAAGCTATACAATAATTATACTTATGCGGTTTATTAATTATTGAGTCACGTTCCAAGATATACACTTACGTACGACCAAATAAACGTTCTATATCTTTAAGTTTAAGTTCAATATAAGTTGGTCTTCCATGATTACACTGACCGGAAAAGGGCGTTTCTTCCATTTGTCGTAATAATTCATTCATCTCGTCCGCCGATAATTTTCTACCAGCTCGGATCGAATAATGACACGCATATGTTTCTGTAACATGTTCAATCAATTGAATCAAGGAAATATTTTCTCCAAGTTCAGATAAATTATCTCCTAAATCTTGAATTAATTGCACGATATTAATATCTTCTAGCAAGCTTGGAACTTCTGATACTATAATTGATCGATCACTAAATTTTTCTATACTTAAACCTAATTTAGATAAATCCTCTTTATGGTTATATAGCAAATTTGCTCGATTTTCATCAGGTAATTCTATTATTTCTGTAATTAATAATCGCTGTTTAATTAATCCGTTATTACTAATCATTTGTTTAATTTTCTCATACCCTAAACGTTCATGAGCAGCATGCTGATCTATAATAATAATACTGTCATCAGTTTGTGAGATGATATAAGTAGCGTGAAGTTGCGCTCTTGCCGCTCCAAGGGGATATAGGCTCAGTAAAGAATTAGTGCTACTAAATTCCCCTTGACTACTGGTATCTTTACTTATTACATTATCAGCACTGGCAATATTCTTCTCTATCATCTCTACTTTAGCATGAGGTTTGGTTCTTATTAATTGCGGCTGAAAATTATTATGGATCAAATCCTGTGCTTTATAATTATCCTGTACTTTATTATCCGAGAGGCTATTTGCTATAATTTCGTTACTAGCTTCAGCGTGGTATTTGTTAGCATAAGATTTATTAAGAGTACTAAAATTTTTAAATAAGCCAAGAGTAGTAGCAGCAATATTCGTGGAGACCATATGGCTTTTAGTGGCTAAAGCATCTTTGATTGAGCCTATGAGTAAGCTACGGATAGTATTAGGATCATGAAATCTTACTTCTGTTTTGGCCGGATGAACATTAACATCTACTAACTGAGGGTCTATTTGCAGGAATAATACTGCAGCAGGATGTCTGTCCTTAGCTAAATAATCTTGATAAGCTATTCTCAAAGCAACTTGTAATAGTTTATCTTTTACCGGTCTGTTATTAACAAATAGAAATTGATCCCCTGTAGACCCTCTGCTGAAAGTAGGAATACTAGTAAAACCATATATTAAAAGCTCCGACCTTTGTAAGTTAATATTCGCCGCGTTTTCTATAAAGTCAGCTCCTAACATTTCCATTACTCTCTGTTGAAAAATACTTTCACGATTTCCCTCTCGCCCTTTTACTTTTAGAATAGTTTTACCATCGTGTGTTAAGCTAATAGAGATGGAGGGGTGCGCTAATGCAATTTTCTTTACTATATTAATGCAGGCAGCTAGTTCAGACTTATCCGATCTTAAAAATTTTAACCGAGCCGGTGTGGTACAGAATAAATCTCTTATTTCAACTTTAGTACCTTCATGATGAATTGTAGGCTTGATTTCTTTCCCCTTACTACTGCTAATTTGTATTTGATAAGCTCTATCACTACCACGAGCTTTGGAAGTAATTTGTATTTTACTAACTGCTGCTATGGAAGGCAAAGCTTCTCCGCGAAAGCCAAAACTAGTAATGTTCAGTAAATCCGCTTCATCCAGCTTAGAGGTAGTATGACGTTCTACAGCAATTTTCAATTCTTCCTCTAACATACCTATGCCATTATCAGAAATGATAATCAAATTTTTACCTGCTTGTTCAAGCACTATATCTATTCTGGTACTTAAGGCATCTATAGCGTTTTCTACTAATTCCTTTACTACAGAAGCTGGCTTCTCTATTACTTCACCAGCAGCGATACGATTTATTGTGCTATCGGATAAAAATTTTATCTTAATTGACATATATACTCAGCCCCCTTATACTACACCAACTATTAGACATTAGACGACTATAGTGAATTGATTTGAATTACGAATACCAGAAATAATAGAAGCATGATTGAGTTCATCTGAGAAAAACACTATATCAGGCATTATTTTAGCAAGCGTAGCAAGTGTGGTA